ACACCCTGTGAGCCGGGAAAAAAACACAGTTACACATTACCTTAATTTCCCAAAACTCTAAGTCATCGCCGATGTTATGTGCTTAACGCCGTATCAGTTTGACAGATAATATAACATTGCGTTGACGCCAAAGGGCGCCTGTCCTGTAACATAAATTACTTTATCTGTTTGCATAGTTTGTTTCTAAAGTATTATGTATAATATCGATCCACTAGTCTCTTACTACTACGAGTACTATTAAACTGCTCAAATTAAAATAAATAAATAAACAGAGTGATTTGTTAAGTCAAATTGTAATCAGCATATTTACAGCTTAGCTGATTTCACTTACGTATTTCCAATTTATCAGTTCGCTATTTCATATCCATTTGGCCTGAGGCTTGATAACATGTATTATATGCATATTTATAACTCTTTTTGAAATATATGCATGCATTTAGTTTTATTTTCAGACTGTGGCGGGTGTGAATAATACAGCATTAACAACATTTAGCGATCATTCTGTTTTCAGATATATTTAAGCAAAACCAAGTGTTTGGAACCCTAGTACAGTCTCGCTCAGGGAACGCGGTTCACATCGGCGGGTCGGAGTTGCAGGCTGTGAATGAATTCGCGAATATTCATCACGGACCGTGGCCGTGACTCGTTGATGCAAGTTACGGGCTTTGCGTCGTGCATAAGAGCTGAAACTAACGGGCACAAGCTTACCAAAATCTATTTAACATGCGCTGCATTAAGTATGAACAAAATGGTCACATAAAAGTGGACGCGGTGAGAACCGTGACAATATGGCGTCCGACTAGTTCCAAAATAGGAACTTTAACTGAAATCAGAATAACCAGACCTGAGTACAAATGTTTTGTTTTATTTTAAAAATAAAAAAAACACACAACAATGACACTAAATTAACAGATCATATTCGCCAGAACAATTGTAGAAGCACATTCCACGTTTTTCGATTAAATCTGCTCACTTCCGTAATCAGAGTTTAAATATTAACTCGAAACAGTGGACCCTCGCCGACGTGACCGTAATATTGCATAGAATTTTCGTCAGAGAGTACAGAAACGAGGGTGGTGCAAAGAGTGGGCACATTAGGGAGATTCGGGTTTAATTAGGAAGCGTTTGCCATTTTGTTTCCTAGTCAACGAGTACTAAACGGGGGAGTTGCAAACAAGTTGTTAATTTTACTAATAAAATGAGCGGGCACATTAGGAAGTATATACATTTTCCCCTAGTGAACAAGTCCCAAACGAAGACTCTACATACACTTTATAATTTCACTAATGAGAAACGCGGGTACATTTTTGGGGTATTCGAATAGACACTCAGGTAAGTGAAGGTCCTAGATTCACTGGTGAATATTCCTTTCTAAAATCAGTCCTGAGTCCCGTGTTGCAAAATTGATCACAAAAAAAATAAATAAAATAAAACTGTAAGAAAAAAAAACATTCACTGCCCTTTTTTCGTAAATACTAAAATATTAAAATGTGATTTGCAAAATACCAAAATAAAATAAAAAAATTAAAGGTGAATTATAACTAAAATAATAACAAAACAAATGAGAAATAAAGTGCAACGAAAAAAAATAAAGTGTAGTTTGTATTTACTGATTTTTAATTTTCTTTTGGTTTTGCTTTTTAAAATAATATTAATGTTAATGTTAATTAACAAAATAAAGGCTTCTGGTCTTTAAACTAAAAATAGTATCATAATATGAAATCGATTACACTGAGCAATTATCTAAGCATGTTTAATTAGGAAATGGTTCAGTTGTTTAACGATATCGCCATCGATGAACAACTTGAACATTTTGGGCAAAATTTGATGCAAACTTTTCTACTGAGACGTCATTTTTCATGAACACAATGACCAAGTTCAAATAATAGAGAGCAGTTTCAAAATCCACATTATAGAATACATATATTACAAGAAACACGTTTTTTTTTTGTGGGGAAAAGGGGTATTTTTTTAACAAAACCAGAGCGTTAACAGAGGATCGTTATTACAGCCAATATTGGTTCATATTACCGTCATGTTGAGTGATGTCGCGTTCACTGACATGAAAACGGAAATGTTTCATGCGGTATTTATTCCGTGCACGTATTAATTTCACACTTTGTGCTTTGTTGTCACATGTTTCAGCACGCCATGCGTGAATGCGATGGGACCGGGCGTCAAGCACGACGATTCCACGCATATTAAGAATACTAAATAGCAAATATCCCCAGGGGGGAAATGCAACTTATACATTTTTTAACAATTCACGCTTCATACGTTAGTCCAAGTTAAACTTTTGTCGTCATTATGCATTTTAACTACTGAGAGCACTTGTTTGTATTCCGTGATTCTATGCGTAATATTCATTCGTGCGACTGAACTCAAATTGGTTATAAAAAAAATATTATTGATTCCACGCGTTAGAGGGCGCTTCATCCGATCGAACTTATGCTGTGACGGGTTGTTTTGTTTGACGTCAATATGAAATAAAAAAAATAAAAAAATAGAGGACGGCTTTACAAATCAATTATATATTTCATAAATGCAAATAAATTTTACTGTCCCAAATGTCAAAATACAGAAAAAAAAAACACTTAGTTTTCTCAGTTGTATTGACCATATTAAACTGTCGAACATGATTACAGTTTTTTTAAAACTTCTCATGATGATCTGTTTTCATTTTATTACCGAAGCCACATTTCCCGGATTCATTTCAGAATACAATATCATGGTCACGTTAAGCACACATACTAGTTAGAATAGCAATTTTATAAACAATTGTCATGACAACAAATTGATTTGTTTAACATAAAAAGAAAATTTTCCATAAAAATGCACTTCACAAGTTGGGGTCCCGGATAATCTAATTTGCATATTTTGCTAAAATCCTAGAAGGGCGAGTCACTTTTGCACAGCTTTATACTATAGTGTGTATTGAGCGTAGATCTATTGCAAAACGCGCGGGCGGAAAATGTGTTTATAGTCATAAAACAAACCACATAGATTATGGGATCTTAGGCGCCGTTAAGTTCATGTGTGACCTGGGATACACGTGCAGAACAAACGTGATAACAGTTTGGTTTTAAATGGAAGAAATTGATAAGATCTTTTAAAAAACAAACTCTGGGTGGGTATAGTATGTCGAATTGTTCAAGTTCGCTGTTAGAAGTTTGGAACTTGAAGGTCCAAGGTACATTATTTTTGATCTGAAAAACAATGGAAAATACATGATCCGGGCATTCCGTCTCTCGGGGCAGTATCATAGAAAAGGCGAATTTAGTTTCGAGACAAGAACGCTGTCGAGCATATCTAACGGTGCTCCGTTTGGATAGGTCAAATGTCATTCACAATTCTTGCGTATAATACGTTCAACTTTAGGGTAATATTTTAATTGATTAGGGTCATGAATTGGCTGGCACTAGTAGTTGAATTGAAGTATTAAACGATTACTCGTATATACGAAAAAAAATCATAACTAATCATAACTACATAAGTAGGGTGTGAATTGGGAATTACGCCCTCAGGATGTGTGCCACGGCGGACCTTGCTGGTAGTTTATTGACACAAGTCTACCCGAAGATTTCCGAACGTACTCGCATTTACCTGCTTCGTGCGTTTTCGTAATGTCATTCTTGTGCGGAACGCACAGGCGCATATTTTTAGATCTCGTCGGAAATGAAATCTGTGAGTTTTGACTTTCAGATTGTCGTCGTTTTTGTTGAAATCGGTCAAGTTTGGATGAGTTACGGCGTTTATTTCCTATTACGTCTACGATATTTATGAATACATAATGATCAAATTTTTAGTAATATTTCTCATTATTTTGACGTTTCCCTAAGAATTTGTTGAACTGTTCTATAAAGGTCAAATAGGGGCGTTGGCGCTGACAGTGTTCCTTTGTGTGTAAACTCATAGTTGCTGTCGACATAGGAAGTAAAGTAAACGGCAAGGTAAAGACTATGTCTAATTATAGTAAATACGTACTGCGTGCGTGACTCGAACCGGCGCTCGCGTACGGCACCAAATCGCCTAGCTTCACGACACTACACGTCTTCCCCTCGGCCACCAGGCATCCCCAATAAAAGATGCTTAATAACCGAGCTTATTACGTGCAGAGAACATGAAACCCGTCCACGCGATACGCGCCACACAGCGTGGCCAGAATGCGGCAAAGGCCTTCAGATCTGGCTGTAGTAGGATGGTGAAAGTAATGGTACAGCATTGTAACAGTGAATAAGTACTGAGAAATAATTTTAAACTCATAGTTGCTGTCGACATAGGAAGTAAAGTAAGCAAATAACACCGAATAAACGTGTGGACGCTTCGGGTTTCTGTGAACATTGCGTTTTGGAAACTTGACTTATGGCTAACGCAACTAAGTGATTGAAGCCATTTGATATTCAATAGGAAGCTGATATTTTAATGAACCATAAATTTTAAATATCTAAATCTACTCTCGTTTTTTTGTATAATTACAGAACAATGGTCCTTACGAATGATATCGACTATCGGTTATATCGACTACCGCATAAAACAGTTTATATTTGTGTCATTTACTATGAATATTCGAATTGAAGAATAGAAATGTCTTCCTTGTATATTCAGTGATATCTGCCAACGCCCTCACAGTCGGATGATCTCGGTGCCTTTTGTTTTCAATAGCCTTGTTGCTACAACAAAGAAGGACCCAACACGCAGTTGTACTGGCATTACATCTGTTTTTTTTGGGGGGGGGGAGTGTTGTAGTAGTAGTTCTGACTATAATATAAATCAATATGGTCTCAAAACTTAGTGATTAATTTGACAGCGCGATATGATTATTCTTGAGAAAAAAGGCTGTGTTGTAGCAAAGATGGCGTTGCCGACCGCGGTTGTCTGACAGTATGTGCGCGTCGCTTCGGTCGCCAAGGAACGGACCGTACAATGAATGATGACGTAGTGTCGTGTAAACACGGTTTTCAATAGCCCAATGCTTTAGAAAGTAGCCACAAAGGCCGCTAGACTCGAGTCACCACGTACACTGACAATTGTTCTACGCATTGTTCCGATAACAATATACCTATGATTTGGGATATTTTCGGGGCATTGTCATCCATCGTAAAGTACTGTCCCGTAGCCACTATCGCATGACTGTATTTTGTGAACTTCAGTAGAACCAACGGACGCCAACTGCTGCGAAATACGGATCAATTCGCCAACCAAGCATACACTGGGGGAGATCTAAACACAGACATGGGCTGTGGGTCGAGCTCATCGGGTAAGTGCCTCGCAACTAGGGCGACAGCGCCGTACAATTAAGTGACGTTAGCTTCGTTGTAATTTCCGGGGGCGACTATCAGTTTCACACACATATATTAAATAATCGCTCCACTCACAGACGTAAGTCAATCGGTATTAAATAACAGCAAATGCGTAAATTACACCGATCGGACGGAGTGTTGCGCTAATCTAGTAGGTGATCTATGAAATGGCGACAGTCCTGAAAACGTGGTGACAACGGTGAATTATGACAATGACACGCTATGATAATAACAATGATTATACACATTTTGCGTTTACGTGTACTACATCCTGTCATACGAAGTTTTTGTGATATATGCCGACACACTGATCCGTTGCGACACAGAAGCTCCAGGATACTTAGTTTCAAGCTGTCAGCTTTTTGAGCGATCCCTGTTTTAACTCTACTGACATCTAGGGACGTTAAAAAAACTATATATATAAACGATGCAAATAGTTTACATACACCGTAATGTTAGCACAGAGCACAATTCGCCGATAATTTTGAATAAGAACACTCCAGATCATGAACTTTCCATTCATTGATTACTAAATATCAGTTTCGCTTCAGAAACTACCTTCGCAAATAATAAAAAAAAAATCAAGAGATCAAGAGCAGTAACTAGAACGGAGTCATCGTGTTGTCAAGCAAATATCAACGTGCGGTCACAGCACCAGTCACTTAATAGTGACTTATGAACCGACTGCATGTAAATCGTGGTCTTGACTTTTTCTCTGAAAGATATTTTTCAACAACTCAGGTATTTTGCGATATCTTAACATACGAGTCACCGTAGCTTTGTTCAGCATGATGACTACGTATGATCGAATGACCATCGTAGTATACGGCGACGTCCTGTTACCTGATGAACAGAAAATTTAGATAGAAGCAGAACCTGGAAAACGCACAGTAGGTAATCCTAAAGATGATGACAGTACACGATTGCAACAGTTATAAATGATGTAATCACTGGCAGGCGGAATCACTAGCGGGCACCGATCCGCGTGGATAACAGTGGCATTGTCCTCCTTTTGTTTCGCAATCACAATACGAATATTGTGTGAACTACTTGGTGATCATTAGACCAAAGCACCTGTTGGAGATCGCGACTATAAAAAAGTTGCATAATGCTCGGAATCCGCCAAATGTGATCGTGCACAGGTACAGGTCGAACAATATTATACGAATGGTGGTGAAATTATTATAATGATATGCGATTTTGGAAATTGAAATAACAGAAGAAAACATATTTATCGAATGCAATTTACGTGCTTTTATATAATTGTCATGTTAATATGTTACCGTGCAGCCGATGAGTAGGTTGAAGCATGGACGTACTAGAGATCTCTAGTACGTCCATGGTTGTAGCAATAGACTCGTGATCGTTATGTCCCAAGTTCAAATTATACCTTGAGTTGAACGGACACCAGCATTAAACGCTATGCGACTGCGTTTCGAGCCTGGCTGACACTGGGATAGAACGTCAAATTACCAAGTGACGGAGAACGGCCAATGTAACCCTGTTTTGAACTCCTAAACATGAATATTTATTGCTGTCACACGATGGACCAGAATATCTATGGCTGTATTCACGCCAGTTTTTGTTTTATTACACACTGACATATAAAACACATTGTATGTTGTACAGTTTAATTTAATCTGATGAATATGGAGTCTGTACTCAAATGTCTCACCTTTTGCCCTGTCTATCTGACATGAAAAATTGAACACTCTGTTGTGTTCAGGCGTGTGTACGTGCTTTAGCATAAACGCCATGTTTGTATTTGTAAAGTTTAACCCAACGATGGCCTATTCAAAATTGATATGACTGTTTTTTGTACTGTTCGGCTCTAAAATTCACATGTTTGGAACCCAAATTTCACACTAACCCCTCCCCTTCAAATTAATTCACGTCTTTGCCTGTTTGCCAATAGCACCGTCACGTATATATATATATATATTTGTTGATAAGTAAGTGCTTAGACTTAAATGGTCGCCGATATATCGCTGAGAGTGAGAGAGCCGCGAGACTTTGCCTCTCAAATTATTTACCCCATTCTCTCCCGTAATCGTCTTTTAAATGTCATGGTTCTTGTTAACATGGAAAAGTCGTATAAAGGGAATCCCTCAGAATAGGAGTAATTATAAATAACGAATTAATCGCAAAAAATGGCACTTTAAAACAAACTTGAATATAACCCTGACATGACAGACCTGTCACAATGAAAGTATAATATATTGTTCGTAATGACTTGTCACAGATGTGTTACTAGTTGCCCCGTCGATTTTGTTCGCACTGTGAGTACAGTTAAAGGTGGCTGGAAATGAACCAAATTAACAAAAGAGGCTTTGTCAAAACACATCGAAGTGTACGTCGCCAATGTTACGCCGAGATACTGATCATGTTAGAAATGAAACGATTCGCACCCATCCGTGTGCCTTAATCGTGAAACGAATTGCCAGTAAATGGGGGCGATTAGCTTTACCCTGATGGTTAACATCAACGGGTGATTGGTCTCTACGTGTCACTGTGATTGTTATTTCAAATTAAAAAAATAAATCCCCGACAATACATTTCAATACATTTCATAGCAAAAGAGTTGATCCCCAAGCAACGGGATTTACAACAAGTCTGTCCCAAATGGTTTGTGTGTTATTGCTACTGCCATTGAACGGACACCCTGACAGTACGATTCCACGTGCATGGAATCCGGATTTGTTTGACACCATGGACTTGCTGTACTCTGAGTTATTTGGTCAATTCCCCCAGGCTTCTTCACAATATTCATCTGTCAAGATTCTAATGAAAAAAATCGTTCATAAACCAAAAAAACAGAAACTGACTAGTTCTATTTACCTCGCCCGTTACGTGTTTCACCCGCAGTCACTTGCATCCCGGGTGATCTTCACCTTTGTCGGTTACATGTAAATTCTTGCTGTATCGGCCCCTCCTTCAATGCTACTAATGAAGAGAATTCATGAGGCCCGGCGATCAAAAGAACATTGGAAATGTTGCTGAAATCTAGGTTAAATTAAATGTTTTGATGATCATGTGAGTAAATTTTGAAGAATCGACAATCGGAGTGAATTTGACATCAACAAAAGGATACTCGTGATCAAAAAGACGATGTTCACACTACACGTAGATATAGTTTTTATGCGCGAGATTTACTTCCTCTAATTTCGGAATATTTTGTTTACTACAGATGCTTTGCATAACCTTCAGTCTCTATTTTGGCAGTGGGAAGTTATTGTTGAACTTTAAAACCGCGCGAGTTCTACGAAACGGAACATTGCTGGTAACATAAATACGCATGTGCTCTGATTGTTTTGGTACGTCACGGTACAGTAGTAATTACTGCACATGCGCAGTAGTATTCTACTTTTTTTCATCGAGGGGATTCAATAGTGTATGCTGCAAAAGAAACATTTTTTGTTTTTTACAATAGATGCCTATCAAATTTAGATCATCAACTGTATGAAATAAATTTAAAAAATAGAAATAATGAAAAAAAATGTCTTTTGCACATATTACAACTTTAAAGAAAGTCCATGGTGTGGCAATAAACATTGTGATTGAGCTTCGTGTTTCGGAGACAGCTGAGAAGTACGATGATAATGTTTACTATTTGAGTTTAAATCCCAGATACACTTTTTTTTCGACTTTTCTAAGTATGAGCCCATGACTCGCCGGTGTTACGAATTAAAATACACTTGCGTATTGTCTGTAAACATTGGGAATTTTAGCCACTTGGAATTTTCGCCATATCACGGAATTTATTATGTATCGCTATTTCTGAGGCGAGTTACAAAAGACGCAGGGCGTCGATTTCAAGCAAGGGAGGTTTGTTACGCTTTGGTTGGCATCACTGTCTCTGCCCATGCGTGACTCGACGTCGTAAAATTAGGTAGCATCACCTATTCAGGAGTGCACAATAGAACGCATGCACATGGGACACACCAAGGTAACCGTATGTATCAGAACGTATCGGTCGGCTACCTATTTACTGGACGTTATATTAAACTAACACACGAGCCTTGTTAACGACAGTGGTGATTAGACAATTCCCCGGTCAAATTAATTGCCCTTCTTATCAAGAGATGAGTGAAGAAAAAGTGCACAGTTGTTCTGCCATCGTCTTCTAATGCCCCCCTCCACTGAGCCAGGGCAAGTATACTAGTACTCTCTATGTCATGTCATGGTAGACCATGACCTGTCAATTCACGGCGTACTACATGTACTAGTATATATCTACCTTGCCATGCCTGCTACTCTATATGATATGATATGATATGATATGATATGAT